GGCTACGTCCCTTACGCGGGGAGGTTTATCTCTAGTTTTAGTATAGAGCCGGTCTCGGGGGTTAGCTATACTAGATTTATTACTAATATTAGCGGTATTAGTTATCTAGAGTCTATAAGTAGTTAGCGTATTAGTAGAAGTCCTAGCTAGGGGGCGGGTTATAAAGTAATATATCCTATAGTTCACGGGATATTCCTTAGAATAATAGTAACGTTAGATTACTACTAGCTATTTCTCCCTCTAAGGCAAGGCGTTAGAACTCCGAGAAATATATACTAAAGTCTTAGTACTTTTAGCGGAGCTAGTATAGGCGGTTCTAGGCGTTCTAGACGCGATTAGGGTCGCCGAACGCGTTTTCGAGATAAGTCAGGAGTTCGGGGTAGTTATTAAACTATAGGATTCTAAAGATAGTAAGGGGAAGTATTAAGGTATATACCTTACCGGTAAGCCTACCGGCTATATATATTAACCGGCTCGTAGCGGTAGGGAATCGGTCGGCGTTAGCTATTATTTTTATATAGATTTAGTATAAGAAATAGCGGAGATCGGAGCGGGATCCTTTAAACTTATTAAAGTCGGGAAGCTTCTTAGATAATCGGGAGGAGGTAGTAGATCCGGTAATAGGCGGCGGAGTTATTCCTAAGTAAGGAGCTATAACCTCTTTAGCAAGGGGGGGTTCCTAAAGCCTTTAGAGTAATTACTTATATAGTCGGTAAGCTAGCTTATTAGGCGAGTTAGGCGGTTATAGTTACCTTAATAATCTATATATCCTTATTATTTATCTAAGTAAGAAAGTTCCGGTTAGCCGCGCTCTCCTCGATAATCTTAGTTTCGAGGGCGGTTGTTTTCTTATCTAGTATAATTATATAATCGGTAAGGTTCGTAATTTAGGTATCTTTAGATTCTATATAAGCGTATACCTATTAATAGAAATAAAACTATTTAGAAGGGTTACTAGCTATAATATCTACGAAAGCGCGCGTATCCTAGGGTAACTCTAGAGGAGTCGGGCGGGAGGTTATCGTATTTAGCGTCCTATAGGTAGGAGCTACGTAATATCGGGGGCGGTCGATCGGTAAGTAAGACAAGGAATACTCGGTTAGGCTAATCTAGTCTATTACTACGGATAGGCACTCTTTAGGTAGGGCAGGCTCTAAATATAAGACATAGCTCGAAGAGCTATAATAGAAGACGGTCGGGATCGCGATAAAATATAAGGGCAGGCGCGAGTTCACGTAACTATAAGTACAAGGGTGGGTCTCCGCTCTTAACTAGCTATGACACGTACTTAGTCGCCGACTAGACTACAATACCGAAGTATTAGAAGCTAAGGGTTAGATACTTCGGAAAAATAATAAAGGGAACTATATATAAATATTACTTAATCTTCTTATATATAGAGTTAAGGTAGATATTATGTATTATAATAAAATACTAGATTAGGTATCTAAGTATATAAAAGAAATACCTAACGATTATATAACAGAAATAGGAAAAGGACCTACTAGGAATAGACTACTCTAGATACTACCGCCGCTACGCGATAAAATCTTAACTAATATCTATACGTATCCTACGGTAGGATACTAAGGAGTTAGGAAGACTCTTAAATGAATACGACGGACGTACGATTACTAAGGAATTAAGGCAGACGTCCCGCGTATCGTTAGATAATACGAAGATTATATATATAATAAGGCTACTCGATATAAACTATACGGAGAACTAAAGCTACTACCCGTGCCTTTAAGACTATAGGAATTAATAGCCTTCGACTATATCACGAAGCTACTTAAGTCGATCGAACTAGGATCTAACGTCGAATATAATAGTATATTCGTTATTACGGACCGAATAAGCAAATTCGGATATTTCCTATTATATTAAAAAGTAATAGATATAGAGACTCTGCGCTATGTGTGGGTGTCACGTGCTAGTCACGTACACGCACAGGTACGATAGCGATAAGATAGCATTGATAACGCCGCAGCCAATTAAGGCTACGCGCACACGATCCGAGGAGCAGCCGCGCCATGCCTATTTAGGCTGGCCGACTAGCTATATATAGATATATATGGCTGCCCAAGGACGTTTGAATTTATCATCCTTTTCCACTTGTTTGATCTGCCTATTAGTGCATCAGCTGATATATATAGAAGGTCCTATATCCCCTAATACGCCAGTCTTAAAATTAAAGAAGTAAAAGGCGGACATACTTATCAGGCCTCAGAGGCTGCCCTTAAGTTCTATCACTTTAGTGATGTTCAGCTAGAGCATGTGTATGAACGTGTAACAGGTTCGTGAACCTGAAATTCTAAGAACGCCTCCCAAAGCCTCACAAAGCCTCACGATGATCTTCCTCCTCAGTGACCAAAAACCGAGATTACTTGGAACCGCTCAGTAATCGTGCGCCATGTGGAGACCCATGCCTCAATAGTAAACGAGTCACATCCAGAACTTCAACCCTCAGAGAACAGGTGCGAACTGCAGAGCAATTCCACGACACGGGAGGGCCCGTTCGCTGAAGCAGGTAACCCTTCTGAAGAAAAGGAACTTACATTATCTCACTAGCTTGACGGTTACTATTGACTCCCATGGAGCCAACCGACTCGTTCGGCCGAGTCTATACACAACATGATCTCGACTAGTAAATGTAACCTCAGTAAGAATATAAAGATAGAGGAATGCGCGGAGAAGGTGAAAGATATTGCGATTTCTACGCTCCCGTAGATAGTCTCACTCGAGGCTTCATGCCATATGAACTTGCTTCCAGAACGTATTCAAGGACTCCTCATTAAGCTTCGTTATCTTTGTAATGGGGTTCAGGAAAGGCTCTGACTTGAAACTGTTGTCAGGTGGCAGGAAATGCCGGAATAGACAACAGTGTCGATGTACGTGCATTGGGTACCAGACCCTCTGTCAAATTCACAGCGAGAATGATAGGGTGTTGTACGGTTCGCCCGGTGCCTAACTTTCCCGTACGGGCGTTGACTTCCGCCACGTCCTCGACATCTCACAACAGCCAGGCATTACAACACGCTAGCTCATTGCGGCATAGCTTGGCGGCGATTCCACGTAGATTCTTACGTGACGGAAGTGTGCCTCAGCTAGCGATTCAGCAATCTCCTGAGGGTGGAGGATAGAGTCGTCGAGTGCCCGTGCGCGCTGGGATGGGGGATAGCCATCGCTCGCGCGGACCGTCTCGGAGCGGCTAGCAGGAAGAAAGAGGCTATAGTTCACAGCAGGTGACAGGTCACATCGGGCTAAGTGTGGTTGGGTCCTTGTCGTAGGAAGGGAGGGTGGGAGGCGATAATTAGGCCGGGGGTACGGGGACGCTTTTAGGGACAAAAGGACGCAAGACCAGCCACCCTATAGGATTAGTATAATAAAAGGAGGAAAACATATGCTCGCTCTCGCTCTCGCTCTCTCTTCCTTATCTCGTGCTTATGCACGTGTAGCCACAAGTAGTTACGGGCACGCGGATACTCCGGAGATTGAATATAAACTCTTGTTTTGTCAAGATATGGGGCCATTTCCAGCCATTGATCGCTATTCTAGGTAAAGGTCTTTGCTAAAATGTCGGCTCAGCGGCTTAGGTGTGTCGTTACACTTCACCGTGGACTATATCGGAGCAGACGGGGCACACCTCTCTACTCAGGAGAGTTTAGACTTTTATACGTTCTGTTCTTCCAAATCCGGCCGCGGCCAAGGCGGGAGCCTCCCGGAGCAGAATTGATTGCTTATAACGAAGAGATCACTCGCTGCATGGTCTTGAGAGGCTTCCGGGAGTCTTTCAAGACCCATTAGCGCTCCTGTGTGCTGCTATACGATAGGAAAACTTAGCTTCAGAAGACGAATACTTCGCCGAGTGCGTAAATGACCATCCCGACACACGCTTCTTTAAGCCGAACCGGCGCACAGCGACCAAGTTCGACCTCAGACACGTGATCCTGATCCGCACGGTAGTAAAACGGCTCCTAATAAGCGCGTCGTCGATATGACCCGGGACTTGGGAGTGCTCCGTGGCTCGCTGGCGCACCACCGACAGATATCCGATAATATACTCTCTTACCTTCTCCTCATGTTATAGAAAAACGCGTAAGGTCTTTAAGAGGCCTCTCAGCTTTACGATAAGCTCGTGTATGAGGTAAATAGGTAATGACGAGCGGGAAAACTCCCTGGTACGGCTTTCTGCCCGGAGTAGAAGACGCTCCGGTTCCTCCGTGAGACTTATAGTACTCGTCAGGAAATAACTATAGTTATCTAGTTGGGTGCCTCGAATCTTGGTCCCCTAGTGTCCACCCACGAAATCTCTACGCGGCTAATAGCTAAGGGGCGGTAAGCTCGTATCTAAAGGTATTATTAGCTAGAAATACGACTAGGTAGTTAGGTAAGGCTATATCGGTAGCGAAGATACTAAGAGAGCTATAGTACGTAGTAAGATAATATAGAATAATATATATCTAAATCTATAGAACTAGTTTATCTATTAGAGGGGAAAGATGGACTTTTTTATATCGCTATTTCTCTCACGCTTATACTAATATAACGAGGTTAGTATCTATCTTAGTATAGTCACGGATATACGGAACCCCCGGAGATTTAGTAAGATATAGGGGTACTCGGGGATAGTAAGGGAGGCGTGTTATATATAAGGAGGGGAAGTCAATATAATTAGGTAGGGTAGGTAAGGGTTGCCTCCTCGGACGTAAAAGGGCGAGGGAATACTCAGTCCGTAGGGTGAATTTATTAAGATAAAAAAATCTAGCATAGTAAGTAGAACTCGAATTTCGCTTCTATATCAAGCTCGCAACCTAGTAGAGTTCCTAGTGGAAAGCCACTAAAGAGTAGATTAAGATCCCTTGGCCTAATCCTGAAGATACTGGAATATAGATCATATAATTATATTAAGAGCAAAAGGATATAGACTGGCAAGCCCTCCATGCAACACCAAACCTATTTTTCCCCTTTTATATTATCTGAAAGTGAGCCCGACACAATCAGCCGCGCTTCCAGAACTGCCACTTCTTGGGCTTCTCATCGAAATGCTCGTTCCTGTTCGCTTTTCCAATAACATTTCCAGTGACCTTCTGATCCATCTGATCCAGCTTGTAGTTCTTGAGGAAGAACGTCAACGGAAGGATAGGCGCAGCGCAGCAAAGCGCTCCGATGAGAAGGTATCGCATAGACTCTTGATACGCACGGTTAATGGCAATGCGTGCCGGGGAGCCAGGTGGGTAAGTGACGTAATCGGCCGCAACGGTAAGATCGCCGTAGATGGTGGCCCAGTCACCCACAGCATCTGCTGGGAGGTATTGCTGGAGTTTGGAGGGAACGCAGGTGGACCAGATAGCGCCCGATATAGCGGAACCGACTGCACCACCGACTTCGAGAAGAGTGAGCCAGACGGTCGTGGCGGCTGCGACTTGCTGATGAGAGACGGAGGCTTGCACTCCGAGTTGGACTGGGACGTTGAGGAAACCACCACCGATACCGACGGCGATTTGGGTTCCGACCAAGGAGCCGGTAGATGCGTCTTCGTTGCGGTAGGCTAGCATAAGGCCCATGCCCATCAGATAGATGGCTGCGCCGAAGGTGACGTAGTACTTGTAGTGGGCGGTGTACTTAATGACCAAGGATACCGCGACAGAGGAAACGGTCGAACTGAACGAGAAGACGCGCACGATGTAATCGGCAGTGACCTGTCCCTTTCCTTGCACAATCTGCAGGTACGACGAGAAGTAGGGAAAGACGGACAAGTAAAATGCCACTGGGGAAGAATGTTAGCGTGAGAATAGGAGGTCTGGATTAGGGCGCTTACTGAAGTAGAAGAATGCAATAAGTACACCTGCAATGACGGTACGCTCCTTGAAAATGTTGGGTGGGAAGAAGGCCATTGGCGCTAGCTTCTTGCTTGTCTCCCAGAAGGGGAAGGCTAGCAAGAATACAACACCCAGCACGAGCATGGCAATCATGCTTGGGTTGGCCCAGCCGCCGTCGGCACCAGGAGCCAATGTAAGCGGTAAGAGGATCAATGAGATTGCGGCAGCAAATAAGAGTAATCCAAATGTGTCAAGATCGAACCAGATGTTCTTGACAATTTGGAAAGCCGAGTTTCCTCGGAAGGCACTGGGGACCTCGAGTCCGAGCTTCTTCGCACGTCGCTGATTCATCCATAGACTGACAGCCAAGGGAACGAAGCATACCGGGAGGATGATAGCCCAGATTCCATAACCCCATCGCCAGCCAGCTGTGGTTAGAATAGAGTTGCCGACTTCGGGTCCAGCCCAGACCGTCCAGAGGAAAGGCAAGTCAAACAGCGTGGAGAAGAGAGCACGATTGAGTAGATCGGTCGTGTCTGCTACAAAGATTTGCTGCAGGACTTGGAGACCGTTGAAGCCTGCAGCCCAGAAAATCTGGGCTCCGGCGAACGTCTCAACATTGCTTGAGTCGGCTTGCATGCAATAACCAATCGTGTATGCAGCAATGGTGATGGTAAAGGCCTCAAGACGTCCAAACACGTCGGCAATTTTACCCATTGGCGGTTTGATGACGGCTGTTCAAGGCGTTAGTGGGTGAAAGTTGAATGAACGGCTATTTGGGAGCTTACAGCTGACTACACCCTGCACGACATAAATTGTAGAGACCAAAGAATGCAGCAGGAAGTCACTGGTAGCGAACCGCACCATGATACCTGTCACCTGGATCTCGAGGGACGTGACATTGGCGATCAGAAGCAGGCTATGTCAGTACGTTAGCGAAGAGTAACCAGATATAATTGTGAGGCTGCTCACGCAACGTAGGCAATAACAAGCGAGGTCGTAGTCCAGGCCTTGCTCACGGCTTCAATGCGCTTTACACCAGCTTGCTGAGAATGCTCGCTCGCGGAGTCCTCACCACTACCGCTCATAGAGCGCTCGCGGTCGTAGTCACCCTCTTTACCGACATGGCCGCGATCCGTCTCGTTGTGGGGAGCGGCTTCGCGATCCTCTGGCCTCAATGAGTTTCTCATATTGACGCCCAGGTACTGCAAAGGTAGTTAGCAGACAAGAAGGTTGGGTGATACCGAGATGACGGGTGAGAGAGAGCGGCATGTCTGTATTTTTATCTGATCGAGCCTGCATTAGGGCTGGCTCAGGCGCTGAGCAGCGGCGGCTTTCTAGCGTTGCCGTGCTATTGGCAGCAATTTTTCTCGCCAAGTACGCGGTGGCATGGCGGATGTGACGTTGACCAAGGAGATATCGGTAAATAGAGTTTGTGGGTCTGTACCATGACATCATGGGGCGCCCAAAGACCGTATCTCGGGGATAATAGTGCGCGACTAGCGATCAAGCGCATCTTATCAGATGTTTTCTCGGATGCGCGAGGCTTCTGGGCACATGTTGGTGGTGGTTAGTGTCTCTGCCGTCTGGGGCTACGTCAGGGCTGGCGCTTGACTTGCTTTTCCCGGGTGGCTACGGTGGGATATTAGATCAAGAACTGCCACACCGTATCAACCATCAATTGCACGCGCACTTTCGTTGTCGCAGCCTCAATCAAATAGCTGCCGTTGCCGCGCAATTGATTACTATAGGAAATAAATGATCCTGCCATGATCGCGCGACACTAGGCTTCTTATTAATATAATTAATAACCAAGAACAAGGCACCTAATGAGGCACCTAACAGGGCACCCGACAAAGCTACTAAAAAAAGAGTCCGAGGGCCGCTGTAACATAGAGAATTAACGAAAAGCCACAACCGCGCCGCACCTATTTAAAAACGAGTCTAAACATTGTGATTGCAAAGCCTGACATCGCGAGATCACGGTATATTGATTTATTTTCTGTAGGAATCATTTGCGCGGCAACGGCAGCTGTTTGATTGAGGCTGCGACGATAAAGTCGGGTGTGCAATTGATGGTTGATACGGTGTGGCAGTTTTTGCTCTAATATCCCACTGTAGGTGGCCTGAACGCCGCTAGGCCACTCGCGGCCACCACGTTCCCCCGCTACTCATAGGACGACCCAAAAACTCCACAAAGTCACGCTTCGCACCGCGGTGACATGCGTTGACTAGGTGTATTACTATGGTATATCCCGATATAAATCAAGATCTACGCGCGGATGCCGCGATCGACCACTTCCCCACCACCAACCACCTCGATCCCAAACTTCGCGTGATCATGTTACTAAGCCTATTTGGCGCTGATTCGGCGGTACTTCTTCTTTTTTGCTAACTCAAGAACTGCAAAACTAGGATCTTTATGTTCTGTCAGGCTGGAAGATCTAGACAACCGGTGTGAAGATTGGGAGCTGACTTGCAGCATCAGGCCTAGGGAAACGCCTAGCTAGAGAGCAAAACTTGGTGGCATAGACGACGGCAAAGCGGCCAACCTCACTATAACAATATTGCATCAATGATCCCATAAGGGCCCAACCACACCAATTGGTCCATACTTGAGCTTCTGGGTTTTCCCTACGGACTAAGTATTCCCTCGCCCTTTTGCGTCCGAGGAGGCAACCCCTGCCTGCCCTACCCAATCACATTGACTTCCCCTCCTTGTGTAAGACACGCCTCCCCTACTACCCCGACACGGATATAGATAACGTGACTTAGAAAGCTGAGAGCGCCTAACGCCCAGAGCCTCGTCTTAAGGACACGGGGCCAATTACGGATATATATATATGCACGCGATATTGCTTTTCTAACGGGGTATTATACATACGCCTTTTCGCGCCACTTGCTTGCTAGCAAGAGAGGAGATAACTGTGCTAGAATGACCTGTTGTTATCTCCCGTAGTGACGCCGCTACCTCGACTTGAGAATCTTATGGTCATTCCCGGCTATATCACCTTCCTCCACACCGACCTAGCGATATTCTTAGCACACGACTACTACTAAAGACAAAATGGTTTCGTTTGCGGGATTCTGCGACTACCCCGACGCCCCGATAATAACAGCTTGCCGCTTCGTTCCTTATAGCGCCTACGGACTAAGTATTCCCTCGCCCCTTTGCGTGCGAAAAGGCAACCCCTGCCCCCTCCCACCCAATCACACACG